TTTTGATTATTCATATCAGCAGCATGACACTCATGACTGAAAAATAAAGATTTACACCAAGTGGTTTCCTTCTTAGAGAGTTTTAACTTATACAGACAGAAGCCACCATAGACAGCAGACAGTGGTGGTAGAGGTGGGGGTTAAACCCCTCTCATCACCTTCATCTTCAGAAAACCACTCATGACCTGATTTCTGTCTTCATGTTCACAAAGTGCAGCCAGGACATCCTTTGCTCGTAGGCTCATTAAACGGGGCTCTAGGCTTGGGCCCTAAACTTGTCATCAAAACTCCTACCAAAAAAACACCCACTGCTCCCAGTAAGAGAAACAATACACGGACCTAAAATATCATCTTTATTCTGAAAGTGACTGACAACATCCAGAGGAGGAAAAGCAGCGGGGTACAGCTGCTTTTAGAGGCACGCCATCTTCTATTGGAGTAAACGTTGTTACTCTCTCTCTGTCTAATGCAGTTTATATCACAAGTTTTAAATCTCACAAGGTAGCTAAGAGCCAGTGAACGGTGTTATGAGGCAAAGAGCATGCGGAGGAGCTAGTTGCAACTCTCCTGCATTTGCAATACCCAAGTGATGGAGAGAAAAGGGTCAGACAAAGGATGGCACAGACCAAACCTGAATCTCAACATTGCCATTTTACTTTCGGAGGTATTTAAAAAAAAGACAGCTGGATGTAGCTGTTTCTAGAAGGAGTGTAGTGATGAAGAGGCTGAAGATGGACTCTTTTCCTTAAGACCTAAATTGGAATTTAGCCCATCTTTTGAAAATGGCAAAATACAGCAGGAGCAGTGCCACTAAAATACAAGTAGAACTGAGCTGGGCAGCTGCAGAAACACATAACAGCAGGATACAGCTGAAAAGCTCAAACGTGCTGAGACTGTGGCCAATTTTTAGTAGTAACTCACACAACAGATAGGCTATTTATCATGCGCTGACGTTTTCTCAACGGTTTTTAAAGGTTAAATAGACTTTGAACCAATTCATGTTGCTCTGTCAATTTTATGAGAACAAAAATTAAAAGAATACAATTAGAACTACTGTCCAAAAAGTTTGCTCAGGGTTTAGCATCAGACCATATGTATTGCACTACGGGTTTTCAGATGGTGACATGCGACTGTTCCTGGAACCTTCAGTCACTCACGCTGCTGTAGTTCACAAAATGGATTTTATTTAAATAACTGAGAAGAATTGATACATATTTTATTGAGCACTTTAGAAGACAACGAGAGATTCACTGCAGCAAGTCATCTTTTTAAATACAAAGGGGGAATTAGTAAAAATTTAGGTTTATCCAACATGAAACATGAACATGTTGCTTTCAGGAGCTTTGTGTTTTAAAGACTGAGAACTCTACTTACATCAAGCGGTTCAAACACATCCACATCACAAAATCTTAGCATTGCACTATAGTTCCTTGTTCAAAACACACAATGCACAATGTGCACCTGTGTTACCCACACATAAAGGACCATCAGCAACACATCAGCACAGCCAGACAGAAACAATCTAGAAAAGGTCGGAGGGGTTGTAGGTTTGCTGGGAGAAGTATGGCAGTAAAATTGAGCAGTTTGGACCACCAGTATCCAACACAAGCCCTGTTTCTTGCTGGTCATGCAACAGACATTAGGACTGCAGCTGTGCTACTGTCCTATGCAGAGGTAGCATAATAATACTTTAAATTAGTACATAATACTATGGCTTTAAAGACTCTTTTAAATAAGGCTTGTCTTAGCTGAAAGCCATATAAATAACTGAAGAGTTCTTGTAATACTAGCCCAAAGTATAGTATGGCAGCACTTTGGGATCCACTTGTTTAACAACAGCTGCCAAATTCAAGTAGGTGCACTATCTCTTTGAAATCTGCTGCAGCACACAAACAGTTCTGTGCAAAGATGGTAACACCGATTACTTCTTTCTCCCCCTCATCCTCAGCCATATGGAGCATGCCAGCAGTCGAGAACACAACAGCAGGTGACACAGATGAACCGGAAAATGGAAGTCCTACCTAGCTATAAAAGAGGTCCTACTTTGGCTAAAAAGACAACTTGGAAGAGGTAACAGGCAAAACATTTCAGTGACATGGACAATATGGAAAAACAAGTAAGCATATAACATTTGTGAAAGATACACACTGCCATTGTGGTGCTTAAACACCCACCCACCTCACCTTGTATCTAAAATACAAGACAAAGGTGATTTTAATATTCATTGAAGGTAGAGGTCATGGGCAGGGGGGATGACATTAAAGCTGAATGCTACTCTTCCAAAACAGTCCAACAACAAACGAGGACAGTTTTCCAATTTACAAACGCTCCCCCTTTTTTTGTTTGTTCCAATCCACTTCAGCATCTTATCTTTAATTAAAATTAAGTCACAGGGTGTGTGGGGAGAACAACCTTTCATCGTATTTACATCTACCTCACTTTGGCTATCGGGTGCTTGGCTCTGCTAAGGCATTCAGGTGCTACTGTAATACAAATATGACTGTATTCTCAAGTGGGGTTTGGAAAACAGCACAACTAATATTGCGTTTGATAGTACAAACATGTTGAAACAAATTCCACACATACAACCATTACAAAACAACTTCGACAAACCATTACAAAGATGGAACCAACTTCACTGATCTTCAGTCCAAACTTCAAGGCGGTTTTGTTGGTCACTAAGACCAAAACCAAGAAACAGAAATTAAACTAACATTTAACTTACATATCATTTTGTTAAAAAAAAAAAAAGTGTTAAGACATTATTAATTTATGAATACACAGAAAATTCAAAATCCCTAACATATACATTACCCCCTTATACTAAGCCTGTTTGTAGTTTCTTTTCCATCAGTGCCAAGTAATTAATCCCAGACATCAATGTTGAGATGGCTAACCAAGACAGAGCAACCTCTATTTTTCCTGTGAAGACACAGCCAATATCAGTGGCCAGCCATCACCTGGTACAGATTAACCAGACTCATTAAAAAACCCCACAAAAATAGCCCCTTTTTCCAGGGCAGAGAGCCCCCAGATACCTCACTTAAACCCTAGAACTGAGGTGGCCACTCCCAGCAGAGCAACGCTTCAGAATGCAACGTGGCCATCTCTTTTTGTTACCTACAGGGTTATGTTTCCCATCCCTGTACAGTATAGTGCTAGCTCTTTCCTGCTGCCAGCTTCAATTGCATCCAATACATGTCACTTGTTACTCATGATAGAAATTTTTTGTTCTTGTTGTTCCTTGTGTGTTTGGTTTTTTTTAATAAATAATGAAAGTCTACAACATGGTTTTTCAGGTACATGATTGCTGATTATTATACAACAAATAGTCTGTAAACCAGTTTGGCCTCTGAGAAATTGTCAGGCTATTGAGACAGTTGCATTCAAAGAGCAGCACCTTGTGTTGAGCACAGTGAAGGTGGAGGAGAAGCCCTGCTGCAGTATGAAGTTCCCACCTGCTGCAGTGGGGAAGCATCAGCATGAAGAATCTATAAGTCTTTGGCGAAGTTTTTTATCTTCTCTCGGACTCACGTTGCCACTTGCATCACGATCTGTCAAAACTAAGAGAAAGTAAACCTTTAGAAGTGAAAGGGCCATCAAACCACTCAACATATTCTCGTTTACAAAGGAACTGCCACCAAGACAGTGCTGCAAGGCTGGCTGTCCTGCGCTGTGTTGGAGCTGCTGAGCAGCATCCAGCTGCCCCCATGCAGTCTGGATGCAGCACCCAGAGGCAGGATGCCCTGCAGCCTCTCGTGCCTGGTCCAGAGTCAGCATCTACCACTGGTTTGTTAACATGGTTACTAAATAAAACATGTTGATGCCACTAGTGACAGAAGAAAAGACGATGAGCCATGGGCGAAGCTTTGCTGATGGGTGGTGAAGTCTGCAGCTGCACCCAGGCAGAAGGAGAGGGCTGCACCAGCCAGAGCTGGTCATGAAATGGCAGCTTCTTTCTGCAATGCATTTTAATAGAGCTTCAAGCATGATTTTGTTCTTCTCTGGAGTAAAACAAGTCTTTGAAGTGTTTTTGTGAGATGAAAACAGTCTCAAAAGTTCTGCTTTCAGATAAAAATGAGTCAGGTTTTCTATCAGCTTTTTCAGCTCCTTGAGCAGAGACCTCCACCTTGGGCTCTTAAATTCTCCTAACAAAACCCACTCACCTGTCATTTCAAAAAGGGACACATTTAAGAGGAAAACTATTTTCTGTCAGAATTACTCCAAACTGCTGTACTAGAGGTGGCTGCCAGAAGTGCTTCTTCCAGTTTGAAAATTATTCCGCTTGTTTGTTCTGAATTCCCCTGTTGTATAAATTTACTTCTCCTCCAAACCTCAGCCTACCGGAACTGCTTGACCAAAGTACAGAGGAAAAGTTACCCTCTGGGTGCTGCTGCTTCTTTTTTATTATGCACAGGGCCTAGCTTTCTAAAGAGAAAGTAGATATAATTTTTTCCTGCCTTTGAAACAGTTCTTTAACTTGCCCTCAGCATTGTGCTCGCCTACTCAGGTCAGCTGCTAAACATTTTAAAGCATCTTCAGTTCCATGAGTGAAGGACTTTGTGAAGAGGCAGCCCACAGAGTCCGAATTACTTCATTCAGGGGATGTAGGCACTGGTGTCCTGCTGCTTCTGTGTGGACAGCTATGAGAGCAGCCATGCTCGCATCAAATGGGAAGAAAGCTTTTCCATCCCATTATGCCTCTCCCTGGATATTTGGCTTCTCTTCTCTAATTCTGCACTTGAGGGGGGAATTGGAATCACAATTAAGATATACCACATTTTTTAGCACAGAATTTAAGACTACATCTCATATAACAGCGATTGCTCAGAGCCGATCATGTCTGGGAACTGGTGGGAATGTTCAGAGAACAACTGCGCCAACTCAGATCAACTCAGACCATTTCGGCAAAAATCACTTTACAGTCAATCTTCCTTTCTCTCTGTGCAAGAAGGAACAGGAACACGTTCACTGGCCCCAGTCCCACTTCCCTTCTTTTGTCATTTTCTGTTCCTCCGCCAGCGGCATTTCTGAGCATCAGACTTATTTTTACATTCATCTAAGATTTCTGCCAAAACATGAATGAAAAGCAGAAGCAGCAGTTACTACTCTTTTGAGCTAATATCTGAAAAACAAATGTCCTGAAACCACCAGCTTTCTCACCGGAGCTTCTTCAAGCGCAACCTACTGTAGACCAATCTAGTGCTCTTCTACTGTGCAGGTGGTCTTAAGGAGTTCAGGTTCAGACAGCTGAAGCCTCTTACTGCTAGAGCAGAGATGTTGGCAAGGACCACCAACTTAACAGACACTTCAGCGTCTAGCCTGTGCCACTGACTTGCAACACCACAATCTTCTGGCACATATGTGAAGTTATAGCAGTCATACTGCAGACAATATAGCAAGGTCTAAGCAGGTCCATTTTCTTGTAGAATATATTAAAATGTTTGTGGTAGGAATACATAACTAGATGAAACCTGCTTTGTTTTGCATGAATTAAGTTTTGGTTTAATGGATTCTTTATCTCTCTATACCAGCAGGTTCGGATATGGTGGTTTTGTGGTGTTTCTTTCTTTGATTTTTCTTTTTAAAGAAAGAGCAGGTCACCTTACCTTGTAGCTCTGTTGCATTATTTTCCAGCTCTTCTGTAGTTGTTTCTTCAGGCTTCTCCAACACAGCTGTCCCTGGCTTCCCATCCACGGTATCTGTCTTAATAGTACCAAGGTTTACCAAAAGTTGCATGACATCAAACTTCTCAGAAACTGCAATGTTCTCCAGCACTTTGAGGCATTTAAATGATTTAAGTTCACTCACGTTTTCCTCAAGAAAGAGGAGGTAAAGGCTTAAGTCATCAAAACACTTTGACTTGAGTTTTAGAACATCGAAAGTTGGCAGGATTTCATACACTTTGAGAATACCTGAATTCCACCTCCATGGAACAAACATTGCATACACTACCAGCGGCATCACTAGAAGATAGACTAGCAGGTTAATGTAGCTGAGTACCTTGAAGACACCAACAGCAATAAGCTTGCACTGAACCACTTCTGGAACAGTTGTGTCGTTCTTTAAGATCCCAGTCTTGATACTGCAAAGAAACTCATCGCTCAAAGAGGAGAGGCTAATGTAGTAGCCCAGGTAGAGGCATGCAATGAAAATAATTACTAGAGTGAGTAAACGACAGATAATGTATTTAATTATTAGGCATTTGGAATTCTTCTTTGTCTTCAGGTACTGCTCCACAATTGGGTATTTAAAGTGGCTTTCAGATATTTCCCACAAACTGAAAGAGAGAGAAAAAAACCACAAATCACATAGATCAGATGCTGCAGCACTCACCTACCTCAAATTTCAAAGAAACCTAGTACTCTAAAATAGACACAAGGTTGGATTTGCTCTTACTGGTGTAAATCAAGGGTAGTTTTATTGAAGTCATTAGAAAAACAACAGAATAGCAGATAAATTAAGAATATTGACACTCTAGTACAGAAAAGCCATTTAAGAGACAAAAGAGCTCAAACACTGTAAAATGGAAAAAAAGTATTGCCCTCGCAGCAAAAAAAATTTTTGTTCTTTTCCAATACAAAACAAGTATAGTAAGCAAATCCATGAGGAAAAGCAGACTTCCCAAGCATTTGTTCAGTAATAGCACACTGGAAGGCTTTTTACTCATCAAGACCTAACTCCACATTTTAAAGAACAGACCTAAGTCCCTATTGCATTGCTTGTACCCCCACATGCAAGGAGAAACAGTTACCCTGCCCTAGGATGAAGCAGAAACTGGATCTGGTTAGAACAGTGCACTGATTTGATCAGAGAGGGGGCTTTTGCTTTTTTTGGTTTTGGTATTTGGTTTCTATTCGTTATTTTTTCTTTAAACAGAAGCTTTGCAGACCTAGATCTGAAAGGATGGGAGATGACAAGTAACAGACTTTGTTCTCAGCACGAAAGCGACTGTCAAGAACATTGAGAACCGAAGACTGCAGCCATCCCCATTTCCTTATGCTGTGGTGGGTAAAACTAATTAACACCTACTAAAGAAATCAGGACATCTCAGGTAATTAGTAATCTGAAGAGCTCATCAAATGTTTTCTTTGAAAAAAGAAAGTTATAAGTTCCAGCTCCAAGTGCCCACAGTAATGATTTCAGATGTCGTCTCTTTTTTAGCCAAATATAAAAGTGTGTCAGGTCACCATTCAAACGTTTGCAATAAATTTCTAAGGGAGTGCAGGTGTCACATCTTTTAAGAGCTTAAGGAAAAGAGCAAAGAAAGCCAAGCCCCAGCATCTTACCTCTGTGTCAAGTTCTCATTAACAGCTGGAACCAAGTCAGTAGGGTCCCTGGGGTCTCCACTGTGGATGCTATTAGCAGCTTTGATTGCCCTGTTATAGGCTTTGTCAAGTTCTTCCATAATAAATTTCAGATCTGAAGAAAGGTGAGGTGCTGCAGTGAAGCGCCAGAATAAACATGGTAGATACAGCAGGATAGCAACGAGCAGAAGGATGTATGGGAAGAACTGAAGGGAGAAAAAATTTAGATTAGGCTTTACCTGTATATAAAATGTCAGCCAGTCACCATCATTCCCTATAAGTCTATTAAATTTCCTATAAGCCTATTAAATTATCTATAATTTTATTTAAATGCTTTTAGTAAAACCCACTTCCGTGGTTATTGGGGATATGCAGGGAAGCAAATTCTCTTTTCAGACAGCTCCAGTAACCTTGCTACTTCTTAGAGCTTTGCACCAAAAAAAAAAAAGGCAGAATTGCCATTGCATTTTGATTGCATATTCAGAACTGCACTGCTGGAGCTGAAATTGAGAGAGGCAGCATTAACCTGGGGAACAACAAATAGCAAAAGCAACCAAAGCAGCTGTCAGAGAGGCTGACTGGAAGAAGAGGATAGTGTCACATAACTCGCCTTCCCAAATGTGTCACCACTGTTCATAGCAACTAAAATGCTCCAAACACTGGCAAAATCTCTCCTGCTCTCCATTAGCTGTCAGGAGGTTAATGAATAGACCATTTATAGCGCTGCATCTGCCTGCAAAGTCTCTTCAGAGTGCCTGACATACAGAGACTGTAAAGGTTGTAACTATGGTTGTAATATTTAAGGGTTTTAAAATATTTTTAGATAACTCCTAAATGGAAACCAACATGTGGCATCAGAATGGTTTGGTGTTAATGCAGCGCTGAGAATTCAGTCCTCACACAGTCCCCATTGCTTAGGGAAAGGGCTGAAGCAGGTATACAATAAAATAGCTTGAAGTCTTTCTGTCTTTCTTCTAGTCATCAACAAGTACGAGTTTTTCACCATGAGATTTAATCTCTAACTCCCTCCAGCTGCTGGAAAGAAGGCATTTTCTATCTACTACGACATTATATTCAAGGTGTACATTCATACATAACATTACCCTTACAGAGACATGACGTATGATCTAGTTAGACAAGCAGTTAGTTAACAAAATGTACTGCAAATTTGGATAATCTCTAATTCATTACATTCAGCTTTTGATAGTAAGCACACTTAACTCAAATCCAGCATCAGTTCCTATAGAATTTTAAATTAGTTGTGGTGAAAAAATTTCAAACAGATTTAAGGCATCTTAAATGTTACAGCCACACACACATGCGCATTCATTGAAAAAGCCAATGAAGAATTTTAGAGGAAACTTGGACTGAAGTCATTACTCAGTGCAAGTGGAACAGCTCCACTAAGATTTGTAGATATTTAACAAGATGAGAATCTGGACCTAATATTAACATGTCAACTTGTGTTTGCATAATCAAGAGAGATTAAAGTTTTATATAAACAAAATAAATAATTTGATGTTATTGAACATTTTATCCAGGAAAGCTGCTTCTAATGTCACCTACCATTAAAGCAAAATCCTATGTTATTATTAATACTAGGAATGCATATGACATATTAGCATATATTAGCATATATGCTAATATATAAAACATAAATAAAACCTGAATCTTAAAGGAACTGCATCAGCAACTGGAGACCCTAATACGAACCATCATTCTGGATGTGCATGTTCTCTACATAGGAGTCACATCAGAAATTTGTGACACACAGTCAGACAAAGCCATGAAAAGCACTAAATAGCCACGGAAAACAGAGAATGCTGTATTTAAAAGTCAGCTTTCCCATGCAACCCTTCTTATAAATTCATACTTTAACCGTTTCTGCTCAGTAGGAACATAATTGAACTGGGCCAAAATTGCTACTTCAGTCTCTAGATAAGTCCTCAAGAAATAAAACTTCAAAAAGGTTCACCTTTAAAACTGAAATAGAAATCCTGCAGGGATGGGCTAACCAGTAACATGATTGTTTCAGAAACCTAGTCAACAAAGCAGAGTTAACTGTAATTATACCGTACATCCCACTAGAGGTAGCTCTTCCTCACCAGCAAGGAACGAGCATCAACCCCGTACTGCTCTATCATAGTGGCCTGTCCCCTCTCCACCACAGGGGACTGACCTCACAGGCCAGAGGGATCCAGGGGATTCCTTCTGATCTCCTGGAATTGCTGGGGACTGCTAATCTGCCCAGTACTTCCATTGAATCCATACTATCTTCTGCACCACTAAACCATGCTCTCAGAACGGATTGTCTATAGTCACCGTCAGGAATTTCTTCTCTCCAGAACTCTTATCTATGCCAGCAGCCAAGACAGCCCTTGGGTATGGGTGCTGCTCTTCTTTCTGAACTGCTAACTGCTTTTGTCTGAACTGAGCAAGTTCATTCTCTCAAAACCACATCTTTAGTGGCTGTCATCTCCCAGCTCTCAGCTCTAATTGCTGCACCCTTGACATGATCTTTCCCCTACTCCCAGCAGCCTGTAGAAACTGCGCAGAGCTCTGCCCTCACTACCTCCTCTCTTCCCTCTTTCTGTACAGCAGATAACCTCAGATCATCTGGATGTTTTTCCAAATCTATCCTTTCCAATTGAGATGTAAAGCTCTGGCGTGTCCCATATGTTTTTGTAGACTTCTCATCAACTCAAACCCAACAGCTCAAGGATCTGCCCTTCATATTTATCTCTGTGGACAATGCCACTGGGTGTCTCAGGTCAAAGTCCTGGATGCCTTGGTCTACCCAAAGCTTTATGGTTTCATGGCCAGGCTCTTTCAGTCCTTTGAATTCTGTATTATGTAGAAATAGAAATTATCTATCTACAAACACAGCTTAAACTTATCTAAGCCTCTCTAAGCTGCTGCAACACCTTTTCCATAGTCCTTAACAAATGCCAGCTTGTATAATATTGCTGCAAAGCCTGTTTGACTTCATTTACTTCTGTCATACACCTCTTAGCACCCTTCCACTGGTGCCAGGCGGGGAAAGAAACAACAAAGAAACATCTGATTTAGTAAGGAGCGGCCAAAGCTTCTTACATTGCTTTATACCACTTGGCTTTACTACTCACTCATTTGAAGTTTTACAGGCATCAGAGGATTTAGGAATTCCCTTTCTGATCCTCAAAACTGGAAATGCCACTGGCAGTATCTGATTAATCCCTGACATCTCTTCACCCTGAGGCCTACAAGACATGCAGCAAGAGGCAATATAGTTGACATACCGAAGTCACAGCCCAAAACCTCCATTGTCCCAGTTCCCATCTCTTCCTTTATACCTAGAAAAAGACTCTGTGGGCACGTTCTGCACTTGTGTAGCACATTGGCATCAGTCCTGTTGCTCTGCCCCAGACCTCCACCAATCCCACCCATCTCCCCTGCCTTATTACAGACTGTTGTCTTAAGACCAGCCTCTGCCATCTTCCCTTGCACCTCCTCCTCTCCCCGACTCCTTCACCACTGCCTCTTCACCTAGAAGCATCACACCACTGGGGCAAAGTCACATTTGCCACACATTTACTGGGCCTTCCCTCGCCAGGCTCTCATCACTCCCAAAGCTGTAGCTTATGGCAGCATGAGAAAACATTATGCAGCTCTTTTCTGAATGGTCTCAAAACCAGAGCAGCAGCGTGACCATTAGTCCATCTCTTTTTGTTTGGAAACAAAAGCCTGTATTTGTCAGCCCTTCCACAGCACTTGACGCACAACTCCATCCTTCTCGGATTCTGGCTTTTTTAAAAATGAAAGATACGCTTGTTCTATTTATTAACAGTAGGCTTAGATAACTAACAAATTGTTTTGAATCATTAAAATTTAAGGCCTTGAACCAACAAGCAGAAGTGAAAATGCAAAGTCATCTGGCATGAGTCCTAGGTTTCAGAGCAACAGACTCGGATTATCCAGCTCATCTGACCACATTTTACAGTCACACATAATGACTTCCCATTTTAAGAAGAGGACTCTGTGGTATTCATACATGGATAAGCATGTGTCATACGCCTTTCTTTCATGGTTTATGTATTTACTTTCAAGGCACTGAACGCACAAGGAGGAAATGCTGCTTCAGTCTTGGATAGTTAGTAGTATTTACATTAAATGGGAAACGTCATTGACTTCAAGAACTATATGGTCAAAGATATGCCAGAGAAAGATACTGCCCTGAAAGTAAAACTCAGTTTTTCCTTTGCTGTCTAGTTAGCAAGTTCCTTTTCAATGGCAAGTTCACAATGCTGGATTTAAGATGGTATGAGATTGCATAACTGAAGAAAGGTCCTCTGAAAGCAGATTAGAACAGATACATTAGAATAGATACAATATCCTATGGTGCAAAACGCTCCTTTCTGAACTTTATTAATGAAATTACATTAAGGGCTACAACACAGTGATTCAACCTGGATGCCCTGAGCCTTCATTTCCACCCAGCTGCAAGGAGAAAAGGACAGGCAAAGACCCAACGAGTTTGCCAGTCAAAAACAGAATAGCAGAGCTTCAGCTAGGCTAATCCAAGTTTCTGGAAGGTACTAGGCATAGATACTATATGATTAGTATTCAGCATGAGACAGACAAAAATAGCAGCACATGCACCAGGGACTCAAACTAGAGTCCCCTATGTTTTCTGCTAAGTATTGCTGAGCTCCTGAAAGCTAAAGATGATGGAAGCAGGTTCACCTGCCTTGCTTGTCCCTTAGTCTGATGGCACGCTGGGTGGGACAGCAAGCTCCCAAGGAAGCAGAGCACTAGGAAGACAAGAGGTCAACTGCCCCTCGTTCTATACTGCTATAGGTCATTGCACTTGACAGACCTTTGAGCACTGCATATGTTACAGGCTATACCCTTACTCCTCCTAAAAGCCAAGAGCACCTGATACCTGAGCAGGATATGTCTGACAACTCAACACCAGAAACCGCCCAAGCCCATGTTGACCGGTATTGATGAGGCACTGAAATTCAAGCCTTATCTGAGCAGAAATCTGGGCAGAGAAGGATTCCTTCCTCCAGGCTAAAGACGTGTGTGTTCAACATCGCTGCTTTGCAACAAGTAACTGAAATGAGAACTGCAGAATTAGTGCCTCTCTGTATCTCACGGCTGTACTCGAAGAGTAACGCATCCCACAAGGCAGCCAAAGATGAAAAAAGGACCTGCTCTGACACTG